CCACTCTCACCACTCTTATTCAGCATAGTTTTGGAAGTCCTAGCCACAGCAGAGAAGAAAAAGAAATAAAAGGAATATAAATTGGAAAAAGAAGAAGTAAAACTGTCACTGTTTACAGATGACATGATACCATACATAGAGAATCCTGAAGATGTCACCAGAAAACTACTAGAGCTAATCAATGACTCTGGTAAAGTGGCAGGATACAAAATTAAGCACAGAAATCTTTTGTATTCCTATACACTAACAACGAAAGATCAGAAAGAGAAACTAAGGCAACAATCCCATTCACCACTGCAACAAAAAGAATGAAATACCTAGGAATAAACCTACCTAAGGAGGTAAAAGACCTGTACTCAGAAAACTATAAGACATTGATGAAAGAAATCAAAGATGACACAAACAGATGGAGAGATATACCATGGTCTTGGATTGGAAGAATCAATACTGTGAAAATGACTGTACTACCCAAAGCAATCTACAGATTCAATGCAATCCCGATCAAATTACCAATGGCATTTTTTATAGAATTAGAACAAAAAAATTTTAAATTTGTATGGAGACCCAAAAGACCTGGAATAGCCAAAGCAATCTTGAGAAAGAAAAATGGAGTTGGAGGAATCAGGCTCCCCGACTTCAAATTATGCTACAGAGCTACAGTAATCAAGACAAAATGGTACTTGCACAAAAACAGAAATATAGATCAATGGAACAGGATAGAAAGCCCAGAGATAAACCCACACACCTATGGTCAACTAATCTATGACAAAGGAGGCAAGGACATAAAACAGGGAAAAGACAGTCTCTTCAATAAGTGGTGCTGGGAAAACTGGACAGCTACATGCCAAGGAATGAACTTAGAACACTCCCTAACACCATACACAAAACTAAACTCTAAATGGATTAAAGACCTAAGCGTAAGACCAGACACTATAAAACTCTTAGAGGAAAACATAGGAAGAACACTCTTTAACATAAATCACAGCAAGATCTTTTTTGACCCACCTCCTAGAGTAATGGAAATAAAAACAAAAATAAACAAATGGGACCTAATGAAACTTAAAAGCTTTTGCAAAGCAAAGGAAACTATAAACAAGATGAAAAGACAACCCTCAGAATGGGAGAAAATATTTGCAAATGAATCAATGGACAAAGGATTCATCTCCAAAATAGAAATGCAAATCAAAACTACAATGAGGTATCACCTCACACCAGTTAGAATGGGCATCATCAGAAAATCTACAAACAAATGCTGGAGAGGGAACCCTCTTGCACTGTTGCTGGGAATGTAAATTGATACAGCCACTATGGAGAACAGTATGGAGGTTGCTTACAAAACTAAAAATAGAATTACTGTATGACCCAGCAATCACACTACTGGGCATATACCCAGAGAAAACCATAATTCAAAAAGACACATGGGGGGCTTCCCTGGTGGCACAGTGGTTGGGAGTCCGCCTGCTGATGCAGGGGACGCGGGTTTGTGCCCCGGTCGGGGAGGATCCCGCATGCCGCGGAGCGGCTGGGCCCGTGGGCCGTGGCCGCTGGGCCTGTGCGTCCGGAGCCTGTGCTCCTCAACGGGAGAGGCCGCGGCTGTGAGGGGCCCACGTACCGCAAAAAAAAAAAAAAAAGACACACGCACCCCAATGTTCATTGCAGCACTATTTACAATAGCCAGTACTTGGAAGCAACGTAAATGCCCATCGACAGACGAATGGATAAAGAAGATTTGGTACATATATACAATGGAATATTACTCAGCCATAAAAAGGAAAGTAATTGGGTCATTTGTAGAGATGTGGATGGACTCAGACCACCATACAGAGTGAAATAAGTCAGAAAGAGAAAAACAAATATCATATATAAATGCTTATATGTGGAACCTAGAAAAATGGTACAGATGAACCGGTTTGCAAGGCAGAAATAGAGACACAGATGTAGAGAACAAACGTATGGACACCAAGGGGGGAAAGTGGTGGTGGTGGTGTGAGGAATTGGGAGACTTGGACTGATACGAATACACCAATATGTATAAAATAGATAACTAATAAGAACCTGCTGTATAATAAAATAAAATAAAATAAAGAACAGCAACAACAAAATTCTACAGTCTTGGTTTAATGAAGATTTATCAGACATCATTATGGATCATTAGGCAAGCAAGAACAGTTTTTATTCCTTTCTTACCACCATAAGAGACAGAAAGAGCCAGGCCAAAGATGGAAGGAAAATACCATGATGGACTAACCTTTTCCTGGGGCGTTGATGAAATGAGAGTGAACTGCTCCTCGGGTGTAGTTATCTTTAGGCCATTCCTAAAACGTTCACAAGGATAAAGATCAGTAAGTATGACAACCTGTCATTACAACATCCATCCTCAAATATGAAAAGCAACTTGTTTATTTCAAAGGGATCAGAAGTCAATTAAATTTAAATATATTCAATGTTCTGGGTGTGGTTTCCACGGTGGGAAAAGGACACAGTTATTTCTCTGGGTTAAACTATGGGGATGAGAACAATGGAGAAGCCCTTCCACCACTTGTCATGATTTGTCATGCTCTTCACAGCAGGGCACTTACTACCTACGTACTGGGAGGGTAAGCCTTCTTGTGCAGAATGGGGAGGCCTCCTGAGCCTTCCCATTTTATTCATGTCTAAGGAAACAAACTGGCTAAGTAACAGAGGAAGGGAATGAGGTTGGGGGGACACTTACACACCACCAGCTTCTTCAGAAAGTGGCTCTGCCCACAGTGTGGCCAAGGGGAAAACATGGTGTGTGGAGAACTGAAACAAAGAACATGGAGACACATCTGAGAAAGCCCATGTGGGCCCTGGGGTCCCTGCTGCAGAACCCCTTTCAAATGGTTAAGTCCACCTCAGCCACATAGTCCTCATAACATAACTAACCCCAATGGTCTCGCCATGTCTGCTGCAAGGACCCCTTCAGATGGCTGACACTCATTTTCAAGTTAGAAACTAAAAAAGCTCCCTGAAATCTGGCCGGTACCACAAAAGCAAGCTAAACAGTCTCTTTTACTCAAGAGTTTCAGTAAAATCACAATAGTTTGTAAAATAAACTGATACTATGATTAATTAAATACTCATAGTACTGCACCTTCCAGGGCCTCTTTTAAGGTTAGGAATCCAGCATACCTGGGCATGGACTAGGGCATCATTAAAGAGAATGAACCAATTCACAGAAAACCTCCCAGCATGCTGCAGAGACAGGGCCCGGTTACTGCTCTCACACAGCAGTCGACGCTCTGGCTTCCTCAAGGAATCCTGGTATTAAAAACAAATACAAAATTGAAGTATCAAAATTATTTTCTGCAAAGAGAAGATGAAAAAGATACAAATGACATTAAGGAGAATTTGTTGGTCACAGCTTAGCTTGGTGTTAAACCTAAATTCAGACGGGATCCAAACATTTCACAAAATCAGTGCTCAAAGGAAAATAAAAAGATAGGAACAAACAAAAGAGGGAGAGACATATTCAGAAAGGATTCCTAGCCAGGAGGGAAGGTGTTGATATTTAAAGCCCCCACTGCTGTGGTCCTTAGTTGCCCTTAGAAAAGGGGTCATTAAAGCATTATTACCATAAATAAGTGAGAAACCGAGAAAATTATGGCAGCTGTTACGGATAAGCCTGCTGTTTGCTGGGATATCAACAATTGGCACGGTTTACCGTCATTTTTCCAGGAAAGGTCTTCCAGAAACCCAGCGTGTATTCTGCTTCCTTCCTTTTCCTGCCGAGATGGAGAGCAAGAGACTCATAACAAGAACTGGAATCCTGCAGTTTCTGGTATTCTGGAGATGTCTAGAGGCCAATAATTAAGGAGGGAAAAAAGAATATAAAACAATTGTCCAGAATTTGTAGACTCAGTGTGGTTTAGATATGTAGTAATAATTTAGGGAGGGAAGCCAGCCTAAGAACAGATATGGTACACTAAAGGGAGCTGAGGAAAAAGAAGACTGGTTCCAGAAAATCCTACCACACACAGGTACATATGAAATAGGGGAAGAACTCAAGGGGACAAGAAATATACACTGACAGTTATCAGTGAGGAGAGCAGCAGAGAACTCAGGATAGGCCAGGAATTCTCAGGGGTTTTGGTCTCGGGATCTCTCTGTTTTGCTTCTGTGGGTTATTATCTCCTGATATTTACCATATCAGAGAATAAAGTTTAAAAAACTTTATATCTTTATTAACTCACTTCAAATACAATAACATTTTTAATGAAAAATAACTAAAATTTCCAAAACAAAAAAATGTTTCATGAGGAAAGTGGCATTGTTCTACATCTTTTCCAATCTCTTTATTATCTGACTTAAAAGATGACAGCTGGATTTTCATATCTGCCACTGCATTTAATCTGTTAAGATTCTTTATTTGAAATAAATGAAGAAAATCTTGCTTTTTAAAGATATTTAGTCGGAAAAGGGAGGAGGATTTTAATAGCCATTTCATATAATTGTGGATATTCTCCTTTGAAACTATACCAAAACTTGTTAAGTGGTAGATTCTTAAAGAGTAGCTAAAATGTGGAATCTGAAACTACATCAAACTCTTTGTATCCTGTTACATTAAAATTCACTGGTCTATCCGACATTTTGAATAGATTTTTTTTTAAAACCTATGCATGATTTTATAACGTGTGAATTGGACATTTGAAAATTACTGGTTCAGTGAATTATGCAGATCTTCCAAATGTTGATACATTTTATTGTATCAAAAAGCACATTAAATCGTCAACAATCTCATCAGAAAGTCTTTAAATATTGGAAAAATGCCAAGCTTGCAGTGATACACACGTTTTCCACATTTTAATTTTTGCTTAAAAATTCAGATTTTATCATTGGCAACAAATACTGTCAGTTGTTCTCCTTGAAGTGACAGGCTCATTTAACCCCCTTTTTTGAGAAAGTATCTGTCAAATATCCAAGTCTGAATAACCACAGTTTATCTGTCAATTGTTCTTTCAAGTTAAAAAAAAAAAAAAGTGCTGCTTCAGCAGCACATATACTAAAATTGGAACGATAAGCAGATTAGCATGGCCCCTGAGCAAGAATGACGTGCAAATTCGTGAAGCGTTCCACATTTAAAAGAAAAAGGCAGCTTTCAACTCAAACGATCTCAATCTTGTGCTTTTCCTTGAAAAACATTCATACTTTGGGATGCAGCAGAGCTGCTTTCTGTGTACTCCCCATTTCATCATGCAGAATATTAAAAAGATGTTGTATTTCTGTGTGTGGTAACTAGACTTACTGTGGTCATTTCATAATATGTACATATATTGAATCACTATGTTGTATACCTGAAACTAATAAAATGTTATATGTCAATTATACCTCTCTCTTTTTTTTTAAAGATGTATACTCAGTGGTTGATGTTAAAAAGAATAATTTTTACTGCTTTACCAAGAATGTTTTTTAAGTGAAACCGGCAATTTTTGTTTGTTTATTTTGTTTTTTAACGGCAAGTACATGCCAGCAAAGAACACAATGACTGAGTATAGTTTGGTGCCACTGCCTTGATTCATGCTAAGGAGCCAGCAGTTTGACCCATCTTTATCTCTGCGCCATCAGTGCAAACGACAACACAGTGTAATCAGCAAATGTCTTAGTACTGTCCTGAAAACAGTTTGATCCTGCCATCTCCTGAAAGGGTCTCTAGAACCCCCAGGTGTCTGTGACCAAGCTTTGAGAATCAACCACGGGATAGGGTATAATTGCAGTGTCTTGTGGAGAGTGAGGAGAAGGTAAGATGAAAAGATGATTCCTCACATTCGTAATTACTTTACACTCCACAGTTCTCAGTCATTCATAGCCATTTTTTCCATTCATTTAAGGAACATTTAATGGTATCTACTACATATGGACTATTCTGTTGAATGCTAGGGATAAAAAAATAAGTAAGGCACAATCTTTGTCTTCTGGGAGCTTATAACTAGGCAGAGAAGACAGAAAAACATATAACATACCAGAATAATACACTGGTTTTGTTAATAGGTTATTGGAAGAGACAATATAGTAAAATAGTCAAAGGAAGAGACTCTGGAGCCAGAATGCTCTGATATGAATTCTAGCTCTACCAATTCTCAGCTATGCCTCAATTCTCTCATCTGAAAAAGGGGGATGATAGTAATAATATCTATTTCACAGAGTCGATGTGGGGATTAAATGAATATATATAACATGCTTAGAACAGTACATGGCACATGGAGTGCATTTAATAAATATTAGGTATTATTTTTATTTAAACAATTTTATACACATATAATGTCTCAGCTATACCTTACACTTACTAAATAACAATTCGCAGTGATGGAACATAGCCACGTGTTTTGAAAAACACAGACGATTTTGATCCCCAACCCTGGCTGAGGATCACCGACATAATGTGATAAGAAAATAATGGGGACAAAAAGTACTAGCAAAACACAGAGAAGGGAATAAGAGATGGGCAGGGAAAGGAGTGGAGTATGGTCAGAGAGGGCTTCATTTTCATGAGAAAAAGATTTTTGACTCAAGCCTTGAAGGTTTCCCATAATGAGGATAGAGGAAATATAAAGCATATGAGAACTATATCCAGGGAATCTGAACTAACATGTAGGACACAGGGTAGACTACAAGGCTAGAAACAAAAGAGAGTATCAGACTGTGAAGGGCCTTTAATTCCAAACTAAAAGAGCATGGATTTTTTACACAGAATTAGGACTCTTCAGACTGGAAATAGTACAGTATCAGACTCTGAACAATTCCAAGCTGATCTAGCTGATTTTTGATTAATTAAGGACATACTGAATGAAATCTGTATCTCATTGGGATATTTGTGTAGCTCAAACCTTCATAGCTGAAATTAGATCAGTTTGGGGTAACACTGAAACCAGACAAAAGAACAGACCCACAAGACCACCGTAGGATCAAACGTAGAAAGGCCACATCAATTCCTAGATCACTCTGGAGACAATATCTGTCCAGAGAAGGAGATAGATTCCAAGATTTGAAAAATCCTGAACTATAAGAAACACTAGAATCATTATGGTTTCTCTAGAGCCCTTCAGAATGGAAACAAAATAAAACAACACATTTCAGTACAATTTCAAAGGTGACTGCCTTAGGACCAGCTTTAACATATACCCATATCCTAGAGCAGTGCTAATTTTCTAGGACTCCACCTAACTAATTTAATACAGAAAGTGAACTCATTAACATTTGAGAAAATCCTGTAACACTGTGATTTCTCATAGCATATGCCAAGGTGACCCAAATACCTGGCATAAGTCTATCATGAGTCCAGGCTAGGTGCTGATGCCACGGCCGTACAAGTGTGAGTCATTATATAGGAAGCCAGGGTTTTAAACAGTTCTGTGTAATTGTACTCAGTATGTACTCAAACTTGGACAACTATTGAATGAGTAGCACAACTGGGTCTCAACTTTAGACTTTCATAAAATGAATAAAATTAATCTTGTTAAGGTCCTGAGACGAAACTGAATCTACAGCAAAGAACACTAGATATACCTACAGTCATACTTTCTTCTTTCATTTCCCTGAAGAAAAATAAATTTAGACACATTATAAATACTAAATTAGTGTAGCTCCAGATCTTGGGGTAGCATAATTCAAACAAACAAACAAACAAACAAACTATGATCCTTGACTTCCCAAGTGTCCAAAGGAGGTATACATGAGAGCTTACCACTTCAAAACAAGTAGCAAGCTTTAGCAAAACTTTGGCATAATTATGAAGTCGTCTGATTGGCAAGAAAAACAAGGTATTCAATATTTCCATCAATTGGGTGTTTTCATCATTCACTTCTGATAAATCTTGCAATAGTTCCTGGTTCTTATTTAGGAAGTCACTGAAGGTAGAGAAAAACAGGGATTCAGTTAATCATTTTGGTACTGACGACGTGCATGATATTGAGTAGAAATATTTCACTTGATACTACCTTTTTCAAAATGTACATTTTTAGGTGCTATGAAAGAAAGCACCAGAAGATTAATACAATGAAATAAACCAGATGTAATTAAAAGAATTTCCCTGCCTATAAAATGGGATTTGGGGGTATAAAAAGTAGCAAATGGTAGCAATAGTAACTCTGTAATAGAGATGGTTAATCACAGGCTTGTGCCTGAAGTTCTAGGAAATGAATCATACATCCTACAGTTTCAGGGAATAATTGGAGACCAGCTGACACATTTACCTGTTAATTTCCAAGCCAGAAGTTACAGCAACAAATGGCAAGACTAACTGCTCTAATTAGTTGTGCTACACAGAAATACTGGAGGAAAAAACAAAGCTCTTTGCTCTAACAGAATTGGCGTGGAATATTAAAATACTTCTAATTTCTTCTTTTTTTTAAAATTGTTTATCATCTAATAAGAGTTTATTACACGACAGTAACAAAAAGCTGTAGATACCAGTACTACAATTAACAGGAAACAGTAAAGCAAATTACATGTGCAGATTTTAATGTTGACATTGTCAAAAGCATTCAAACTGAAGCCAACATTTAGTTTTTATATTCAATTATATATAAGTTCATAATTAAAATTTTACTGCAAATTTTAAGCCTGATTAGTAACCCATTGAGACTATGCTCACCAGACTAAAACACTTAAAAGATCTGTAAAGTAGTAAGAGTCGGTGGAACAGAGTAATACTCATTATCTGCCACTTAATGAACAATAATTCTGTGCCAGGTACCACCCTGACCGCTTTACAAGCACTACACTACAATTCTCAGCTACAAGGCTTCAAACAAAACAATGTCACACAAGACTATAAAGCAAAAATGAATAATTTTATAATCCCTTAGAGAACTATGGAACAAAGAGATGTTTAACTCAGAAATTATAAAATATTATCTTAGAAAGATGGAAAAATATGTAATAATTTCCAGGAACTCATAAGTTCAACGGCACAAAGTGGACTGTTTTATAATGCAATTAAGAGAGCGTGCCCTGAGGAACATGGCCCAGATTTTTGTTTATATTGGCCTGTTGGATGTTTCTACTTCCTCCACCACATCCTATTGCTGAGATCAGCTGGGGAAACTTATTTAACCCTACAGAAGTATTCTGCTTTGACCTGCTCCTGAGAGATGGAGGTGGTACATGGTGAACACATACTCCCTCTGAACACATTTCTTCTGGATGCCCAGTACTAGACCAGAAATGTTCCAACACTTGTAAATCCCTATTACCTTTCTGGACTCACTCAAGTTCTTGCCTGTAGACTTTCCCAAAAGGGGCCCTAGTACGCTCTCAGAAAACCTGAACTACTCTGTTTAGCTTATCTTCTCTTGGGAGCTTTGAATCCAATAGTGGCAATATTGCTCTTTCCTTATATGGCTAGGTTTGCACTTGTTATTCAAAAAATAAATATATTAAAGGTAAAAACCACCCAAGTGTCCACTGACAGATGAATGGATAATCAAAATGTGGTATATACATACAATGGAATATTATTCAGACATATAATGAAACGAAATTTTGATATATGCTACCACATGGATGGACCTTGAAAACATTATACTTAGGGAAGTAAGCCAGATACAGAAGGACAACTACTATGATTCCACTTATATGGTACCTAGAGCAGGCAAATTCATAGAGACAGGGAGTAGAGGTTACCAGGGGCTGGGGTGGGGGGAGTCTCTGTTTAATGGGTACAGAATTTTTATTGGGGATGATAAGTTTTGTGTAGAGACAGTGGCTTACACAACATCTGAATGTGCTTGATGCCACAGAACCATACACTTAGGAATGGTTAAAATGATAAATGCTATGTATATTTTACCACAATATTAAAAATATATATATCTGATGATCAAACCACCAGGCTAGCCTGAGGTGAATGGCTAAGTGATAAACCAGCTAAGTGATGAAAGCTTAGGCAGATTCACTAACTGCCCATGGGCTCAATAGCTATACTCTAGAGATTCTCAAAGTGTTCTCTTTTTAAATGAATACCTTAAAGTAACTTAAATTACTGATTTTGTAAATAGAAGTTAAAAAAATGTCATTACTGCCTTTAACTATGTAAAAACCCTGGGGTTCATGAACCACTGTTTAGGAAATGCTGCCCAAATCCA